AGCCCTCTTCCGGATGAACCTGACACAAACGCGAACGAGCGGAACCGCGAGATTCGGCCTCTTTCTAGAAATATGACACCCTGGAGCTGAAAAAACAATGCGTGTGTCGTATCCAGTACTTTTCTCCACACCGCATTCACGTATGCCAGTGCTTGAAAGAGCTTCCTGAATATTAGTAACGACTGGGAAACTTTCCCATTATTCATAGATACATGGTATAAATTGTGTAACAAGAGGGACTTCTGAGGTTTAGCCTCTTTCTACCTATCGAGAGGTTTTGTTTGCAGATGCCATGATTCGAGTCATGTCGGCTGGTCTTCTGCACACTACTCTCACCTATTGTAATGAGAAAGACGTACGCTGTCAGCAAATGTTTCGATGCATGTTAGCTGAAGGTCGTCGCAGTAAGAAATCTGCGATCCGTGCCGAACTCTAAAGCTCCCGCGGCTTAAATGACTCGCAAATCAAAAATCATTCTCGCTGAGATGTTAAAATTTTACTGGGTGACCACCAGGTGGTCACGTGATTGGATGTTTTGTCTCCCTTGTATGGGCTGCGAACAAGTTGGATAAATCGTTCAGCTGCAACACCCTTTCGGTGTCTGGCTACCATGTTACCCGGAAGACGCACGAGAGCTGAGATACTGCCAATTTGCTTGACAGAAGAATTTGAGTTGCAGTGGCCGGTTTCGAACCACAGATATTTTTGTCTGTAAATTCGCACTCTAGCCAACCCGCTAGATACATCCTGGATTCTGTTAGCTGGGCACTACTAAGTTCGGTCCAGGTAGGCATAATTCCCGCATTAAGACCAACCTGATTTCCCGTTTGAACGCAAATTTAGAAAAGTGCTGGATCCACCTTTCATTTTTGAATCAAGACGGCGTTAAAGCTCCTTTGACTTCCAAACCACTGAAGCAGACGAATAACACCGGACCGATATTGTGTAGGTTCTTCCTTCAACTGATGGCCACGACGTGCCGAACTTGGATTTCTTTAGGTGACTGACCCCTGGTTGGGCCAAAACGGTATTTCACCTACATAAGAGATAAGATTTTGTCCTCGAAACCTTGGTGCAGTCGTCACACTTAGTTTTGCTGACAGTCTCTGGTTCTGTTTGCCGGGAGGCGATTCTTCGATTGCACCAGTGAAGAGCGCAGAGTGTTTCCCCTCTGGAAAGCTATGATAGCCATGTTTAGATTTCTCCGAATTACCTCCAGTGTCCCTGGTTTATATGAAATAACAGCAGTCCCGATCCATTCCCTGTTGGATTTCGCTAACGGCACCTACATCATTCGCAATTGACGCCTAATCAAGCTAGCTGGATATCCACTAACCCAAAGTTTGTTCTTTACTTCAGTCAGGGCTGCCGTCGGATCAGTTTCTTCTGTTCACCAGGTCCTCACACGCCTAAACATTGATGAGGCAATACTAACGAATACCGACTTCAGGTGTGAAGATGAGTGGTTTAAAACGGCCCCAGTGTCGGTTGGCTTCTCCTAAACCGTGGTCTTTAGTTTTCCTCGGACATTATGTGTCATCATGTCTAATAACCCAGTGTACCCGAGGTTGACTCTGTCTCCATATTAAATTTGATGTGTGGATTTATCATCATCATCATGGTTGTATGCCATGGTTGTACGAGGGCTGCGATACAGCCAGGGTGCCCACACCTAGACAGGAGGACGATTAGGGTCCTCAACCAAAGTCTTTGGCTCAAAAGCCTAACCGCAAGGCAGCTGCGTTCGACTGGAAATGCAAGTACATTACCATTTTTTACGGAACACGTCGCCATACATGTTCCAACCCCTAACCTGGAGGGCCAGGAGACTGTGTTCGTCAGACCTCTTAACATTGACCAACCTGGTATGAGAGACTCTGCGAGTGTCGCGCGGACACCCCCAGTATAGCTCAATGGGTCTCCGAGGTACACAAACCGCCACACCACGATAAGGTCCAGTCTCTTTTCCCATTTCCTATCTGATTCTCTCCTTTTCGCTCGAGTTCCGCAGTTCTGACGTGTGTTGAAGAGCGCTGAACATCAATAGGATATGCAATGTCACGGACATCATCCAGTATAGCTCAATGGGTCTCCGAGGTACACAAACCGCCACACCACGATAAGGTCCAGTCTCTTCGTGACGGATGTGGACTCAATACATTCAGATAGTTGTAAACACAAAAAGGCGAGTGGGCCTTACAACTATCTGAATGAACCGATTTCACACGCTTAATTTAGTATCGAGATAGAGGTCAGCTTGTGAAACTATTGCGGGATAAACACATCCATAATTAATCGACACGCACGCACGTAACCTGCGCGTTTCAGTGCTATAAAAGGTCCATCTCATGCACACAGAGTTTGGCGCCTCGCAACTAAAGTATGTGGCTCATCCTAGTGTCATGTTTCTCCGCGTTCATCTGGTCTGTTGCTCGGGCAAGCATAGAGTGAGTTGCACTAAACTTTTTATTCACAACAACCTCGTTGTTGATCATAGAATACCCCTGTGGAGATCGTGTGGAAGGCACTATTGTGGACCGTTGTCTTTCGGCACTCCAACACAACAATTCAAAATGCTGTTCGACACCGGCTCCTGTAGCACATGGGTTCGATCAGTCGATTCGGAGACAGAGTTCACAGACCAAGCCTATGACCACGAGAGCTCCGAATCCGCTGAAGTCGAGGAGGATTATCAGACGATGGAATATGCGAATTGTCGCATTACTGGAATCGTTGTGAACGATGTTGTGAAGGTGAGTCGTTTGGCTAACTAGACACACCAGGAAATTCGACCTGACTTGTTCCTCACTCGACTGTTGACCGTTTTGTTACAGTTGGGAAATCAGAACATACATATCAGCTTTGCCAACGGGGTCGAACTATCTCAGTCCTGTCCACCGATAATGAGGTTCGACGGGATAGTTGGTCTTTGTGCGGTCCCGGGGAAAGCGTCGTTTCTCAATCAGTTATTCGAAGCGGAGATCATAGACGAGCGTATATTTTCCATATGGATCAATCCGTAAGTACACGTGAGCACTCGCGAGTTCGTGGCGCACTGTTTTGTTGTTAGATGTTCACTGGTACTCACTGTTTGTTTGTTTTTCATTCTGTGCGCGTTTGAAGAGACACGCAAGACCCGTTGGCTGGCTCGTTGCTACTTGGTGGTGTGCACGACGGACTGTACTCC